TAGTTACTAAAGTTCAGATTATCTGGAGAACATTCTGCCTTAAGCTGCTCAGGTCATACAGCACTGCTGATGAGCAGAAAGCAGACTACACACATGCTTGGTAATACACTTTATATTCAATTTACAATCAGGCACATAGTTACCACGAAATGCTTAAACTTTCATAAATTATAAATTGCTCTAATTACCATTTTTTTATACATTTTAAAGTAATAAAGCAACATAACACGTATCAGTATAGCCTAAAATACTGACATTTGACTCAAGCAGGCCACAGTTATTATCCGTAACCACCACAAATAACTCCTGGATGTGCCGTGCCTCACAGGACACCCTCTAATCCTCTTACCCTAAGAACTATGTCCCCAGACAGATGCATAAGCATGAAGGTATTATCACACATAGGGGAAATATTGCTTGCATTTTTCAAACCACTCTTAAAAATCAGACAACAGTGAAGTATTATATTTTGTGAAATTATGAAAAACTGTATCTGTTTGAAAGAGAAAGGATTAACCTACAGTTGGAAGAAAGATACTAGCTAAAATAAAAGTATACTGAAGAAAAGCAGTATTAGCTTCAGTGGGACACGGAGATTATTAACAAGCAGGAAGGGTTGGGATATGTCATTTTTCATCAAGAGAAGACAAAGGTGTAAGCATTCAGGGCACCTAAACCGAGAGAAGAGCCCTTTAGGGGGCCTTTCTGAAACTACCCAACGGTTTAGTGAATGTAAAATCATGAGCTCTATCCAAGTATATGGCCTTCAATCTCCAACATAAAGAAAGTGAGGAATGAGATTAAATGTTGTGAGACTGAACATTTTTGAATGTGAGAAAGCTTTTCAATGTAAAAACAACAACAACAACAACATTTTGGTGATACCTGATGGAGAAAATCTGTCATGCGCATGAAAAGATTTAAAGCCCCTCTTACAATAAATCTATGCCTCCCTCCTCTTGGTCCAGCTGGTGCTGACTCTCCAGTTTTTTCTCCGCATTTCTCCATACAAGGCCACAACCTTCATCGCTACAATAGTGACTGCCACTCCTAGTACTCAGGCAATTTAAAAACTCTTACAGGCTTCCACTGGGGCTCACTGTCCTCCAAACAGGCAGGGGGCAGCAAAAACCTAGCCTTAGGGTTGGAATGAATGTAAGTGAGCAAAGACAGGGCTTTGGCAGATTCCTTATTTTGATATAAATTTGTCCTCTTTGTAGACAGACCCAACGACTGAATAATGTCCAGACTCTTCCGTACC